GGGCATGGCCAGTCAATGTCACTGGTGTTGGTGGAGCCTGTGGCCCGAGTGTTCTGCCAGCAAAAGCGAACTCACAAACTCTGTTTTTGGCTGGGACGGCCTCCTGCAACTCTCTGCCAGCAAAAATGGCCCTCCTGAGCTCCGTTTTTGCTGGCACAGGCACCGCAGGCCAGTACTTCATTGTTTCCCGGGCAGCCATGCAGGCCAGAACCCAGCACCCTGCAGGCCGGATCCAGCCCTTGGGCCTTGAGTTTGACACTCCTGCATTACGTCACACTGGCTTTCTTTTACCTAATATAGGGTTCTACCATCCAATCTGTTTGCTTTATGTTCTGATGAAAATTCCAATTTGGTCCCCTACTGGCAAACTCAATAGCATCACCTCTCAGAAGGACAGAACAAGGCTGATGGAAAAAATACTTCTCCGTGACTTTTATTCTTGATGTCGTCTTGCAGGTATCACAAATTGATCTGGAGTCCTCACAAAACAGGATCCGATGAGACGCTTTCCGGAGTTCTTATTGCTGGTGGTGAAAATGGGAATATAATTTTGTATGATCCAGCTAAAATATTAGCTGGTGAAACCGAAGTCATGATTGCTCAGAACGACAAGCATACGGGACCTGTAAGATCTCTGGATGTTAATCTATTCCAGGTTAGATTTCCCTTACAACTTTTCATAGTGTCTTCAAAGCATATAAGATCAAACTTCCCCATTCTGCTCCCCTCTTAAGTTTGATGGATCACAGTTTCCAGCAGTTTCCGAGCCATCGTGGTCACTTTTTGTGAGATGGGCACAAGAATTTAATATAAATATATCAACATTTGATAAATTAATTAAAAAGTCATGAGCATTAGCTTTTTTTTGAAAAACCGGCTTTTGATGCAATGTAAATTCATAGTGCTTGCTTTGTGTTACAGACAAATCTAGTAGCTTCTGGTGCAAATGAGTCAGAGATCTACATCTGGGATTTAAATAACTTTGCAACGCCGATGACACCAGGAAGCAAGACACAGGTATGAGATTTATATTACATCTGCATGGACTTTGAAAATCACTGGATAACGGGTGAAGTCCTAGATGTTCTGTTGCCCTTAGGTATAATTGTATTTGGTCTTTGGTGATTTGTCCTATCTCTGGATTTAGTAGGTGTCCAGTGATGATTTTTAAAGAAAATACATTTGATTTCTCCTACGGTGTATGAATGTTCTAAAATGCACAAACATCCTTAGGTGTTTGCAGGTTATTCTAGAAAAACTGGTTAAAAAAAAAATAGTGAGATACCTCTGAGTCAAAGAAGCATCATGTTCCTTAAAATAACAAATACAAAGCATTGCATTTTGGGGAGTATCCAAGTCTTATGTTTGCCCTCTAAAAGCGCATTGGATTCTTAATACCGTCTTGTAAACATGACTTGACAGTTTTCCCCAATAGCTCTTCTGTTCCATCTACTTCCTTCTTGGAGTTCCTTGCATGAGTAATAGCAATAGCCATAACACTTAGACTTATATACTGCTTTACAGTGCTATACAGCCCTCTCTAAGTGCTTTACAGAGTCAGCCTCTTGCCCCAACAATCTGGGTCCTCACTTTACCAACCTCAGAAGGACAGAAGGCTGAGTCAACCTTGAGCCCGGTGAGGTTCAAACTTCCAAATTGGCAGCCAGCTGGAAGTCAGCAGAAGTAGCCTGCAGTACTGCACTCTAACCACTGTGCCACCGTAGAAGAGAAAAAGCTAACACATTCGTTGTGCATAGTAAGTATTAAGCTAAGAAAGATTGAATCAATTTCCATCCTTTTTCCACCCAACAGCCTCCTGAAGACATCAGCTGTATTGCGTGGAACAGACAAGTCCAACATATCCTGGCCTCTGCGAGCCCCAGTGGTCGTGCTACCGTGTGGGATCTCAGG